ATGCAAATTTTAGGGGTTCATAGCCATGTCTAAGCCCTTTTTGGTGCACAATTGCTTTAAGTGTTAGTGAGGGTGAGGCAAATGTGCAAAATGAGTGGATTAATGCATAAATATGTGATATTTGGTAGGTTATTGGTGCATGAAACACTCGCTTAAGTTGAAGAAGATGCAATGTATATCTTGGAGGATAACACATAAGTGAGACCAGAAGAGAAAGTTGTGCACCAAAGGAAGGAAATTGAAGCTGGAAACAAGGGAGTTGAATCCGACCTCAGATTGGAGCAAAAAAGAAGAGATCCAACCTCGAATAAATTTCTGTAATCAGAGGCTGTATCTGAGGCCATGATTCGAGCTCGGATCCCTTCGATAGAGGCCTCGGATCTTGCATGCAAAATATGTAAAAATTGAAGAAACCTTACATTCAAGCTCGGATCAGCTTGGAACCCCTCGGATCCAAGGGCTTCGACTTTCTCTCTCCTCTACAATTTTTAGAACAACTTATGTACATTTCACACTTATTTTTTTAACTCTTGTTTCACAACAAATTATAGTTGGAAAGCTGGCAAAGCATCTTGTACACTGAAGAAAAAAAATATTTGAGATTCCAATGAAGGGCATTTTTGGAAGAAGAAGTAAAGAAACAAGTAGAAAAACACATTATTGAAGAGAAAGAGAGAGAGAGGGGAGAATAGGAAGAGATAGAGAAGAGAAGATATAGAGCTTTTCTTTCTTTTCTCTCTAGATTAGTGATAATTTTAGATCTAGTTTTCATTTCTATTGAAAGACTTAAAGAATTCTTGATGTAACAATGTATTTTTGATGGCAATGAAGATGATGGACCTTGAAGATCATGTTTCTTCATTTGAAAGAGCATTTCTTCTCCTTTACTCTCTTTACTTGTTTCACTAATGCTTTGTTATATTGAAGACGTGAGCTTTATTGTTAAATCTACTGTATCTAGTTAAATCTTCTTGTTCTAGGGATAGATGAAGTTATTTGTGCCTTAACTATGGTTGAATAAAGTTGATTATTCCTATATCTTGTACTAGCTAGTTCATTTGTTCATGCTTTAATACTTGTGAATGCTTGATCATCAATCACAAGCCACTTTAGTTGTTGTTAATCTATGAAAATAGTTGACAATAATAGAAAATGAATGAATGGAACCTTAGGAGTAGATACACGAAAGTAGTGGTATACTTAGGTAGATATTTATAACATTTCTTGTACTTGGTATAGTTTAAATTTGAGATTTCACCACGAAAGTAAGAAAACTCTAGTGTAGACTAAGTTTGGTTCATTGGCGAAAGCTAGTACCAATTGGTTGAGTGAAATGCATCCTTAACAAGACAACAGCATAAGTGATATTTAGCTAATTCATCCATGATTAGGTGCAGTTAGTAGATTCTACATCCTAGGGCACTTGTGTTTAGTTGAGTTACTTGGAGTTGTTAAAAATTTGCATTGTCTTACTTTTGCTTTTTGGTTGATTAAACTAGTTAAAATTCTTGATAAGTTTAGATAATAGAGTGAGCTAAAAGCCTTGGTAGTTAGTGATTCCTCGTGGATTCGATCCTAATTATTACTGAGTATTACGAACTACAACTTGTACACTTGCAGTGCACGAGGGATTTAGGTTAAAATTTAGAGTATAGGTTTAGTCCTCGTCAAGCTAATAAAGTGAAAAACAGATTTTTTTGCTAAGAAACACTCGCATGATCAGATAAACACTCAAGCCATAACAACAAGGGCAGACAATAGTAAACCAAGAAAAAGAAAAACAAGAAGAGGAGAAAAGAAACCTGGGATTTTTGGGGAACGAATTGTGAAGGTACTGTGAGTTGCAGAAAAGCCAAAGTGTTCAGAAATCAGCTACAGAAGCAGAGGCAGCAGCTCAAACGTTTCCATTCATCTCTTTATAGAACATTTTTTCAAAGGACTAGTAGACTTTGAGCCAACACATTCGGCTTTGAGCCACATCAGTTATATCCATAATTGACTTAGATAGTTGTGGATTTTGGAAATACTTGTAATGCGTCACGTATTTTGCACGTGGCTATAATATCATAAAACATAATGTTTCTTATACATTAAAATTTATTTGTGAAAATTATTTTAACAAATTTAATATGTGCATATTTTTTTTTATTTAGCTTTTTATCTTCTTTAATTTATTATCCTTAAAATCATTATTTTAAAAAAAAAGTTCACAAAATTTTATATCTACAAATTCATATAAAATCTCTAGAGACTTTGTAACAAATAAGGATACATTTGGTCTCTTTCAATTTAAAGTAATGGTTTAAAGGAAAATAAATTAAAGAAGATGAAAAATTAACTTCTAAAAAGTTAAAGATTTGACCAAATATGAAATGATTTGACAAAAGTATCAATATTTTGAATGGCATGTATAATATTGATACCTCTAATTACTTCGTTTGTTTTTTTTTTTCCATGACAAACAAATTATGATAGTACCACTAAAATTGTATGATTTTTCGTTAAATATATGAAGATTTTTTTTTATTTTTCTTTTAGAGCTGGATGACCTAAATTTGCATGCTAAACAAAGGTTAATTGTTTGCAAATCACTGGGTTGGCTCAGTGGTTAAGGTAGGGTTTTTAGAGTACTTTTTGGTTCAGAATTCGAATCCTATGCATAATAGTTAGGGATGAAAAAGGTTTTGGGAGAGTTAGAAGGGCAACAGAAAAAATAAAATAAAATAAAAATGATTGTTTGCATAAATACTAGTTGCATGCTTTACCATTATTAGTTTTCATGTTACATAAGTTAAATTTGAAATTCTTCAATATGAAGTTATATACACCATTTTTTAAAAGTGAAGAGATGCATATTCTTTGAAATTGAACTCTTTGAATTATTTTGTATGTTATTTCTGTTAACAATGGAATATAAATAATTCACCATGTATAAATTTTTTCCGTCTATCTATATCATTTTTTGAGAATTAAAATTTCATTGGTAGCGGTAATTGAGTTTGTCTATTTTTGGTTTGTCTTCTTTTAATTTTTTTTTGGGGCAAAATCTAACTTAAAGCACAAACGACAAGTAAGAGCGCCTTGTTTTGGTATCAATAGTAATATTTTCAAAGATTTAAAAATTTAATTAGGCTATGATTAATTATTAATTTTTAATTGAAATAAAAAATTGAAAATAGAATGCAAAAAAACACATTAGTTTGGAGTGTTATAATTTGTTTATTGTCTTCATAATTCAAATTTAATTAAGGTTACAATGTTTTCCTAATTACTACAATTATTGCTATTATTCAATTGCAATAAATCTAATTATTAGGGTTATTAGGGAGATTGGTATTTTCGACAAAATAAAAAAGGGTTAAAAACAAAAAAGCCCCATGTGGTATAACTAATATACGAAAAAGCCTCCCGTGGTTTCAAAACATACAAAACAACACCTCATATTTTGAACTAAATTGTAAACTAATAAGATTCGTTGAAATTAACGAAAATGATGGTTTCGACTGTTAAACTTACCGGATTCTGTTAAATTTAACAAATTCTGTTAAATTTTTCGTTAAATTTACCGGATTCTATCAAGTTTAATGAATTCTGTTAGTTTACAATTTAATTCAAAACATGAGTTGTCGTTTTGTATGTTTTGAAATTATGGGAGACTTTTTTGTATATTAGATATACCACAAAGGGTTTTTTTTTTTGTTTTTAACCCAATAAAAAACTAAGATCAATTTCTGCTCAATCTCTATTGCTTAACATCATCAACTATTATTGTCTTCTAAATCAATAAATACAACATAATGAATTTTAATCATCATAATACATTAAAAGAGTATAATGTGAAACTTCAATCATTAATTAATAAGGGTATAATTGAAATAACAAAAAATAAAATCACAAAAATGTTTACACACACACTCCAAAGTATCGAGACTCATGGTACTTTTTATATAGTAATGAAAATGATTATTATAAACTCTTTTATTATTCATTGAATTAAACAACTTGGATGATTACATGTGAAAGATATCGTTTCAGCATCACAAAGACTTGAAATTAGCTTGTTAGATGCTTGTAAAACATGCCCAATGCTAACCAAGTTCCTTCTTCTGTTAATCACATAATTCTCACTATAAAAATTGGTGTGCTATGCTCAATTCTTTCATTATCCTGAGTCTTTAACTACAAGAAACAATCCCATCACACATTAAATCTGTGTGCTTATTTAAAGGTCATATTGAGTTGCAAACAGATTTCTAGTAAGTTTGTGATCATATTGAGTTCTGAACATGCGTACTTCCATGAGTTTATGGTGTTTTGATATTGTTTTAATTCATTTTTTTCTTAATAAATTACTAATTGTGTCCTAGTTTAGATCTCTTATTAGTTGAGCCGATTGTTATGAGGCACAAAATTAGTTTAGGTTTCATAAACAGATTTAAACTTCTGCGTGATTTTGGGTTGATTATGCTTGAAGAAGAGCCCATATAAACTTATGCTTTTTGGAGCTAAGGTACCTTAAATTACTCCATCCCTATTCTTGTCACTCCAATTAGATCATTCACAATTGCTTAATTTTGGTTAAACAGAACTAAAATATCCACTTAAGTAACCCTTTTAACTTAACTCCTACCATCTTACATATTTTAAGTTGCAGTCTATAAAAGCATGTAGAAAAGAGAACAATTCCATTAAACAAATGTTGCCAAAGAAAGATAAGCAAGTTGCAAGAGAAGAGCAAGAATTCAAGTTTATGAGATCAAGCTGTTATACTTAATCCCTATGATGTATCAGTGTCATATTAGGCTGAAGTCACATTCATGATTCAACTTGAAATGTTTTCAAACTATCCTTGACCAATTAATAGCATATAAAGATTAGGGGACCATAACATTAAGCTAATGCATAAGAGCCAGTTTTTCCCAGCACAAAGGAAGATGAGATCTCTCACAATAAATCTTACAAAGTCGAGAACTGTCTTGCAAACAACATTATATAGGAGGTTAACAAGTCAGATAGCAATACTTGGATCTCAAACCAACAAAACCTGGAGCAATAAAATCTGCTAATGGTAATGCAGAATCATTAGCAGAAAGACTTCTGCTGAACATAAATTGAGCTAGAATACTAGTTAAGCTTCCCGTAACACGAGTTTACAGTTCACAGAGCTCCTCTTGAATGACAAGATCCTTTCACCAACTGAAGGCCTTAAAAATTGACCTACAATCATATCCTTTAAACCTTTTCCATGCTGCAACAGATATTCAATCAGCTTGAATTCATATTCCTGATTGCTGAAATTTTTGAATTCGATCTTCTTCAGCTGTTTGACGAAGCATACTGGAAGAGCCTCCAGAAAGAGACTCTCAAGTTCATTGCTTTCACTGATGTTGTCCAAAATCATCTGTCCATTAAAAGTAGGTTAAAACTGAAAAGCCTAATGCGATTATTTTTTGTGATCAAAGAGTGCATCACGACTTACATGAGTAAAAGTAAGAACTTCAAGGTTAGGGGCCTTTTCAAACAAGGTAGGTAGTATTCTCCAAGCAAGGGTATGATCAATTTCACCAGCATTGTGGCCATTGTGGCCAAGTCCAAGCTCCAAACTGGTCAGATTATTGAAAGTTGGCAGGAAATCTTGCGAACCATAGAGAACCTTCACGCAAACCCAAAACAACTTAAGAGTCATGAAATGCAAACGCCTAACAAAAAACGAAACAGAAAACAAGCCATATAAAAAAAAAAAAAAAAAAAACCTCCAGATAGATAGTGATTTCACTCTTTGGGCCCTGTAAAGATGATCAATAGCATCATGAATTTGTAGTTGATCATCAAGCCACCCAACTCCTATTCCAGCTGCAACAAGAGAGTCTAGGTTTCCAATGAAGCTAACTCCGGCCACAGGCGCCCAATAGGTGAATTCTTTAAGATTTGGGGCGTTGAGGATGACCTGATGCTGGCCAGCATAGTTGTAAGCAATATAAAGCAAACTTTCAAGAATATTTGACTCCACAACAATCTTATACTCACCTCCCCACCGTCGAATTTCCAGCTTCTTGATGGAAGGACTGGAAAATTCAACAACTACAACTTTAGTATCATTTGTATCCTCCTCCTCCAAAGGATTGGAATACAATTGTAAACTTAGTTCTTCAAGAATAGGGCAGCCTTGAATAAGCCTCTGAACAGAATCATCAGCCAATCCCATTAAATACATGCGGAGAACCTTAAGGTTTGGTAAGAATACAGAGTTGGGGATATCCGCATGCACCCATAGTTGCAGATAAACCAAGCTTTTACGCTTGAAAATCCGAGGACAAGTGATTACATATGGTTCATTTTCAGCTTCCACGCATATTTCAAGTTCTTGAATTTCATACAGAAGGGCAGTAGATATTAGCAAGTCAATGGTCGACCGAAAATTTTCATATGCCCAAATGATGGTGAATTTAAATTTTCTAATGGGAGTCAGATCTCGTAGTTGAAGTATGCTAAAGGTCAGACGCAAGAACTTTAAGAGCCGCCAACTATCAAGAGACTCATCATCACTTGTTTCTGGTTCAAGATCAAAAGTTGGTTCAAATGTGAGATCAAATTCAGGAACCGAAGCGAAAAGGTATCTCCACCTACCGGATAGAACTGAGGTGGCTACAGATTCTTTGGTTGGGAGAAACGATAAAATGTTGCAGATAAGAGGTTCGGGAAGGGCACTGATCCTATCAACATCATCAACATCTGGGCTTGGGGTGCTTTTGATTTTCATCGAATTTGTTGCCATTTTTATCTAAATTATTATAGAGCTGATAAAGTGAAAAGGATTTTTGCTAAGAAACACTCAAGCCATAACAACAAGGGCAGGCAACAGTAAAACAAGGAAAAGGAAAACAAGAAGAGGGGAAAAGAGACCTGGGATTTTTGGGGGAACGAGTTCAGGTGCCGTGAGTTGCAGAGAAGCCAAAGTGTTCAGGAATCAACTGCAGAAGGAGAGGCAGCAGCTTCCATTCAGCTCTTTATAGAACAATTTTACAAAGGACTAGTAGACTTGCAGCTGTCAACACGTTCGGCTTTGCGCCAGATCAGTTGTATCCGTTGCTTACTCAGATAGTTGTGGAATTTTTGGGAATATTATTAACTCTTTTTAGTATCCATTGAATGTTTGAAAATCATAACAGATTGCAACAAAAACAACTTCGGTGACTATAGGTGAAAGACATTTTTTTTCAGCATTACAAAGACTAATAATTAGCTCGTTAGATGCTTGCAAAACATATCCAATGCAAGCCAAGTTCCTTCCTCTGTTAATCACATAATTCTCACTGTCAAAATTTGTGTGCTAAGCTCAATTCTTTCATTATCCTGAGTCTTTAAGTACAAGAAACAATTCCATCACAAGCTCAATCTGTATTTAAAGATCATATTGAAATGCAACCAGACTTCTTGCAAGTTTGTGATTATACTCAGATTCTGAACTAGCGCAATCAGGCATGCTTCAATGAGTTTTTGATGTTTGACATTGCTTTAATTCTTTTTTTTTTCTTAATAAATTACAATTTGTGTCCTAGTTTAGATCTCTTATTAGTTGAGCTGATTGTTACGAGACACAAAATTAGTTTAGGTTTTATAAACAGATTTAAACTTGTGCGCGATTTTGGATTGATTATACATGGGGCAGAACGCATATAAACTTAATGCTTTTTAGAGCTGAAGTACCTTAAACTACTTAATCCTATGCTTGACACATCCACAATTGCTTAATTTTGGTTAAACAGAACTAATATATCCACTTAAGTAACCCTTTCAACTTAACTCCTACTATCTTACATATTGTAAGTTGTAATCTACAAAAGCGCGTAAAAAAGCAACCAAAAAATTAATTAAGTTGCAGGAGAAGAGCAAGAAGTAGACAAGTTTTGTTTCCTTTTGCTTTCAGATTTAGGGTGCGAGCTGTTATGCTTAATTTCAGCCCTTTTTGATGTATCAGTCTCATATTAGGCTGTTGTCACATTCAACTTGAAATTGTGTCGAACTAAACTAATGAATAGCATATAAAGATTCTGCTGAACAATAAGCTAATGCATACAGACCATAACAAAAGCTGGAGCAACAAAAGAAGCTAATCGTAATCTACACATCATTATACAGAAAGACTTCTGCTGAACATAAACACACAAGCTAGGCAGTTAAACCTTCACTTACCTCTAGATAGCAAAGAAGATATCAACACATCAAGAAAGCCAAATGAAAGCAGTTCATCATCATCTTGCTGATACTTGCATAACATCTTTAGGACAATGCCCAGAGAGCAGACCACATACAGAGAGAAACAACATTAATTCAATCCATTGTAACAGGATCTCCCCCCCCCCCTCCTTCCCACCACAACTACAACAAAGTATAGGGGGAGAAATGCTCATTAGTCGGCCGCCATTTGAAACAAACGCTCATTTCAAGGTTAGGGGCCTTTTGAAACAAGCTAGGCAGCATTTTCCACCAAAGAACTTCATCTATATTACCAAAAAAGCAGGCAGATAAAAGCACCTGGATGGTCAAGTTTCTAAAATTTGGCAGCAAATATTGGGAACCATAGAGAGCCTTCATGCAAATTAGAAAGTATCAAAGCAACTTCCTTAGCAAGTGTAATGCAAAGAAAAGTAAATTTCAAAAAAAAAAAGAAAAGAAAAGAAAACAGAATACCTCCAAAATGCGTGGCCATAAAGAAAGTGATTGCACTCCTTGCACCCTCACAAGATGATCAATGGCATCATCACTTGGTACTTCATTGTTAAGGTTAAGGATAAGAAGACGGGTTAAGGTTCTGAAAGAAGCAAACTCCAACAGCAGATGCAAAGTAGGAAAAGGATCTAAGATTTCGGGCATTGATAACCACCTGATGCCCAAGAGTGTGTTTGGCTATCATCATACTCCAGACTTTCTAGGTTATTTGACTCCACAAGTATCGTACACTCTGCTCCCAAGTGTTGAACAAGCAACATATTGATTGAGGGGCTAGAAAATCAAGCTCAAGTTTACTACCTTCATGCCCTTCATTCAAACACTGGATGTGTAATGACAGGTTTCCAAGCACAGGACAACCTCGAATAAGCATTTGAACAGAATCATCAACTAATTGCCTTAAACACATACTCAGAACTTTAAGCTTCGGTAAAAACACTAAATTGGGAATCCACATCATATAACAGTAGCAGATAAACCAATGTTTCACATGTAAACATCCCGGGACAAGTTATTGCATATGTTCGAATTTCAGAACATGACAAAATTACGAGTTCTTCAACACTAAATCCAAGCACATCCGATATGATTGTGTGCTGTAAAGCCTGTAATTACTTGACTAGATCAACCCGAACAGGTTTGATGTGCCAAATTACTTATTCAAATCGAAGGATACTATTGCTTCTTGATTGAGAGGATCAAGACTGATGGAACAAGGAGGAGGACACCAGCTGAGCAGGAAAATAAGACTCCTAGCTGTAAATTCCATGAAACAGATAAACACATCGATACAAATTCATCATAACCAAAAAAAGACGTTCAGAAAAATAAACTAAAACCACAAACAGAAGCTCATACAAGGCTGAAACAATAGAGGAACCTCAAGCAAAAGATATGTGCACAATGTAGAAAAGCAAATAGAACGCTTTCTCCATGTCTGTTGCTTCAGAACACAATTTGCTGAAATGAGAACCCCCAACTTCTAAAGATGGAATTAGTAACCAGCCCAAGCCAAGAAGTTAGCAAGGATTGAAAGGAATTCAGGGCACATGCTTTTTGCTTCATGATATCATGTATCATCATAAAGAGGGGACCATTTTTGAGACAATGCTTTGACAGCCGAGTGTGGATAAACCCCCTCCAGATGAAGAGGGCATCCATCAAATAATGAAATACCATCCACTGCAACAGGACTTGGTTAAAATTTAGACAATAAGGCAAGAAAATCACCGACCAGCTGATTCCAGGTCTTTACTTCTGCAGTAACTTACTTGAAAATTATAGGAAAGAGTACTGACTATTGAAGCAAAATTCAAAAATATCAGAATTAAGCTCTTTATGTCTCGAACAATAATGGAAACTGTTGCCAAATCTTTGAGAACATCTCCTCTATCATGGACGAAGTGCAGCACTAATGAAGATTCTGAGGGCAGCTAAATCATCAGTCTTCTCATCCTAGCTAGACGGGCTAAATATATGCTTTTTCCTTAATGTCATGTTTTTACCTTTTTTTTTTTTGTTTCAAATTGGGATTCCCAAACTTTTCCTTCGGAAAAAGTAATTTTCATGCATCTCCATCCACTCTTAATGAGTGACTTATTTTGAATTACTGGGTCACATTTGTCGATTTATCCCAAGCCAACTCATCTAAACATATATGTCTCCTTACATATGACTATATGTCTCCTTAAAATTTAAATTGCAATTTTTAAATTCCAAAAAATCACTGATCGGGGGAAGGATGGTGTACATGTCACGCTCCGGACTCGCAGACCCAAGACGCAACAAGAGTCTCAACAGCCAAGTTCAACTATTTGAGCTCTATTCTCGCCTCTGTTTTAAAACTCGGACCGGACCGGACGGTCGAACCGGGAACCGGCCAGGTAGCCGGTCCGAGTCATATTAAAAAACCGGAAATTTAAAACTCGGTCAAAGCCGGTCAAAAACCGGGTTGACCGGGAAAAAACCGGTTTTTCCGGTTCAACAGTAATTTTTTTTAAAAAAAATTCAAACTTTTTAATATTATGTTTTGACCCGCTAAATTGTTAAAACTTATTGATATACCTCAAATATTTGATACTTTATAAATATTGTCCTAAAATTTGATGTTATTTTTCAATTAAATTCATAATTTTAATTCTAAACTTGTTAATATTTATTAAATAATATAAATTGCTACTTGATTGTTCTAATTTCTTTGTATTTTCTTGTTAAATATATTTGAAACATCAAATATATATGAATATACCTTTATTAATATCAATATATTATTAGATATTATATATATAATATTTTAATTTTTAAATGATTTTTATTTATGACGTCATCCGGTTCGACCCCTATCGACCCCCGGTCGAACCCATTGACCCCTGACCCCTGACCTCGGCCGAGTCACTATCCGGTCCGGTTCTGAAAACATAGATTCTCGCTAGTCCAAAATAGATATTTCAAGTTGGACTTGAGTGCTCATACTCTACTCAAGTAGAGGTCTATAGCACTTTATATTTCCGCTGTGAGATGCAGTATAACATTCACCCCTCCTTTTTATGTTTTGCAGCCGGATTGTCCACTCAGTTGTGTCAGATTCTAGAGGTAGATCATATGAGTTTTAGAGATGGCTTCTATCCTTAGGTCAACAAAGCACTTAGCGCTGCACAAGACTTAGTTCCTCCACTTCTTTATGTAGTCTGATCCAATACCATTGACCTAGTATCACTCATGCAGAAACTACACGAGATTCATTCTGATATCACAATGTCACATTTTGGGCCCAAGATGTGACTAGAGTCTCAGCAGCTAAGTACCAGTACTTGGGCTGATATGGAGTGATCTGATCTAAGGTTGGTTTAGTGCTTGGATGATTGCATTTCCTATATAATATGTGGAGTGAAGCTGTAAGAAGTATAAATAAGAAAAAAAAAAAGAAAATATAAACCTTATCTCAATTTTAATGGTCTCTTTGGTAGGTATATTTGTATCGTAGGAAGTTGTTTGTGTCATATGCAGCGGGTGTGACTACCTATTTTGTCAAATCGAAAAAAAAAA